AGAAGGTAACTTCTCTCATTCGAAAGTGGTATGACATCTTGGGGTGTGAAGGCTTGTCACACATCCAAAAGGAGAGTAAAAACCCATCTTATCGGGTGCAACATCTGCCTACATTGCGAACCGTGGAATGAATAGCGACTTTCCCTATTTCACCAAAGCTCACAACATTTGCTGATAACCTTGCAGAAGACTGTTCTTTCCTCACCAGAAATGACAGCCAGGTTGCTTATTTCCACCCACCATCTTCGTCGTACATTCAAACTTTTATGCACAAAAATTTACACCTTAGCAAACGCTAATAAATGATGTCACGTTTGACATAGTGATGGTTCTAGTGAACAGATTTTAAGGCAAAAACCAATCATCTAGGCCGTGACTTTATGAGTAAAATGTGTTCCTGCTTGAGTGAAAGGCCATTGAACCACAGTATGTTGAAGACTCATCAAAAGAAACCCCAAGGTTTGCGATACCGACACAGAGGCAATACTGGCGCGGAGATAATGGCAGCCTAGAAGGTGAGGAAATGCGGTTAAATATCAGTCCTGCAGCAGCACAGCATGCTGGTGGGAGACTGATCTGTGCTTCTCGAGGTTGTTCGCCTCTACTCTGTCACTCCTTTCATGAAGAGGTTCATAGGAGGAGAAAACTTATTTTTGTGTACTTGTGTTGAGATGTGCAAGTTGTCACCACTGCAAATATTTGTTCTCCCTCCTCGTTTGGACTGTGCTAACCTGCTATTTGGGTGCCTGCAAATGTGCGTTTTATCACCCCCTCCTCCTCCTCCTCCTCCACTTCCCTCACCACTTTACCTTTGCGTCGTAATTTTATGGACATGATCAATTTGTGTGATGTCAAGAAAACACATTTTCACGTTCATCATCGGAGAGAAAGCTATAAGGGGACTGCGAAAGGGGACAGGGAGTTGGGTGGCGTCTCCCTCCCTCTTGCCGCCCTTATAGTGCAATTTTGACGGTAGGTAAACTTGACCTGAGTGTAAAGCCTTCCTTTGACTAATTGACTAATCCCACCTCTCTCCTGAGAAAGCAAATTCTGTCCACATCCGCATTACACTGGGCACATCCTAGCCGTGATGGTAATGCAAAGAGGAGAGTACTGCTGGATTGCCTGTGCTAAACTGTTCAGTGAACCAAATTTCGAAATTGCAAAATAAACCAACTTTGTGACCAACAAATTTGGTGTAGAAACCGGTGGAAGGGGAAAGGAGCACTTCACTTTGGCACCACTAAGGCATGCACTCATCTTCAGCAATCCGAGCTGCGCCAGAAAGGTGATGGGCTCGTAACTTTGGATCCACTTTTATGTGTAAATGCAACTGAATGCAGTTTTTTGGCATTGCGCCGCCTGACTTTCATGCAGTTGATAAAGTTGGACCACTCGAAAGGACTCTACGCAAATTGTAGGCTCGTGAATGGACCAAAGCTCCAAGAGTGCCCGCAATGTAACACCATTCAGGCATCAGTGTTAGCCAATTTTGGGCTACGGACGTCCTTGTAGCACGAAATGCGACACATAAAATGTAACATAAAGCAAGTCTTGTTTGTTCCAACACTCTACTCACTA